AATGAACAATCTTTAGAGTTTTACTCCTTTAATATAGAGTTATAAATGGCTAAGTACAGAATGTGCTTTTGTGACAAGTTGCCCCATCACAGAGTTATCACATGATGCTTTTTATTTTTCAGATGAAGAAACAACAGTCTTAATTTTAACTCTTCCCTTTGTCCTTCCTTCCTTCTTTGTTTTCTTCCTTCTGTTTGAAAATTACTACAAAAAGATATTTTATGATTCTATATATATATTTCTAGTTAAAGGCTTATCATGCATCCTCATATTGTGCCACTGTTTAACAATATCTGACAAAACATCTATTTCTTTGTATTCTTATATAGCCTCTTGTAAAACAAAATATCATGTGTGCCTACATCAGCACACCCTGATCAGTTTTAACCAATAATATCAGGTGAACAAGGTGTGTCTTTAGAGCCAACAGCAGACAGCAACAGGAACAACTTGCCCTTGAGTGACATGTGTGCTACTGCTGACATAGGTCCAGGTCTTTGGATTAAAGGTGTAATGTGTAAGATCAGGGCAGAATTTTAGTTTAAAATTTTCAAAAAATGAACTAACACTATCAATAGTATGTGAAGCAGCCACAGTGATGATGTCATGTCCAAGACCTCCATTGTATTTCAGAGATATCTACTGAAATGAGCATGCTAACTAACTAGCTGCGTCCCTGGCCGTGTTGTAATACCACTTTATGACACGAGATGCTGTGTGAGTCAGTGTTGCTTTAAGTTACGCTACAGCTCCTAACTAAAAAAAAAGCTCCTGACAAGCATCACAGAAACACACAGCTGTCTGAAGTGCCTAGAAAGCGATCTTTATCTCTAAGGACCGCTCTGACAAGAAACCACGTTCAACAGCAAAGAAAAGAAGAAAACACGAGCTCTGAGTAAAGAGATGAGGTTTGATGACGAGCTGCAACTTTTCTGTTAGACTGGTGAGTAACATCTAATGTTGGTCTGTAGTGAAAAGTATCATTAGTGCAAATGACAAACTGAACTGACAAACACTTCAAGTGGCATAAATGTATGATTGATGATGTCGACAGATGTTTTAGTGATTTTGTAGAATTAGCCTGTTCCAGCAGCTGTTGTTAAGACAGTCAGTAAGTTTTCTTTTAAAGTAAGAGACTGTTTGTTTGATCCAGAACCAGCATGTTCAGGATTCACTGTCTAATACTGGATTTATTTTAGGATATTCATATTTATCCCCACTATTTGTTATACACACACAACAGACCCAACATGTTTGAATATAAAGAACTTGTATGATCTAAACTAATTGTCCTATCACATGTTTGTCTGTGTCAGGACCAGAAGTCCAGTCCAGTCTCCTCAGTGATGGACCAGCACCTGCCTTTTCTTCTGGGTCTGGCCTCATCAATCAACAACCACATTACAGTAACACCTCAGAGTATTATCCCTGCACAGAACTCATATTGTCTGTACTGTGATCTTTTGCACATCCTGCTCAGCAGGAGTTTGGTCAACACTTTTGTACATAGTTTTTTCATAGTTTATTTTTTTTGATATGTGTATCTATGTATTTTATCTTTTTGACTGTGTCAGTATTTTACCTTTTTATTGTTATTTCCTGTTAATATGTTTCTTGTATACTGCACCAAACACCAAGCCAAATACCTTGTAAGTAAAAACCTACCTGGCAATAAACCTCATTTTCTTTTTCTGCCTTTGTGATGATGTCATCATCCCTTCCTCATGCTGCTGTAGCCTGACACCCATGTGTCATGCAGTATCCCCTTGCCTTCATATTTTATAGGCAAATAAACACATACTGTTTGTATTACAAGTACTCATAATTTGTTTCAGTGCTATCAACAATTTAACTATTAACAATAAATGTACATATAAATAATAAATTATAAAAGGAACATGGGGAAAACAACAAAACAATGTTTTGATTGAGAGACCCCTAGAGGAAAAAGTTACAGACTGTGCATTTAAGGGGGACGGAGCCGCATTTGGAAACAGAGTTAAATCAACCTGAACCTCCTCCAACCTGAACAACCACACAGGGTGTCTTTTTCAATCCTCTGATACAAGCCATAGGAGTGTCTCCTGAAATGAAGCCCCAATATGGCGGCAGGTGTACCGGACCTGCTACAGATAATGTGCAAGTTACACACACTTTGATCCAGGTAATTAGATAAAGAGGGCTGTTCCCCGTTTTTAAAACATAATATTATTAAACAGTTTCACTTATAGATGTGTGTTTCCTTCACAATATATCTATGTATATAAATGGAACAGTTGTGATGTTTGTCCATACACTTGATGAAGTTTGAGCAGTCTGAAACATCCTTAAGTAAAAACAGTAGTAAGAGAGATTTTTCATTTTGATTCTAATCATCAAACTGGTCATCCTGATTTCTAGAAGAAATGATGGTTTAGTAAAACTTCAGTCTCAGTTTGTTGTTGCTGTCTGTTAATTTTCAGGTTATAACTTTTATTTCACAGGGTTTTACAGGTTGAACAGGATCTCCTGGACACGTTTCCTGGCAAAAGTGTCATTAAATTGAAAGTGTGGCTTTCTTTTGTTGAACCTGCTGGATCACTTACATGACTGGAGTTAGCAGGTGATAATAGCCACAGTTAGTCGCCCATGCTTCAACAATTAAGGGGTTGATGGATGTGTAAAAAACATATGTTAATCACAGCTTATATCTTCCTGCCCTTTGGCTAACAGCATTTCTCAAGGGTTATTCCGGTTCTCTTGAATCACACATCATGGCAACAAAATGCAGTGGAACACATCAACATATAAAAAGTGAGGGGAGATCATATCTGAACCGGCTTCTTGTACTGCAGCAGCTTGATTAGTTGACCAGGAACAGGTGAGCAGATTGGTGAGTGGAGCGGAGAGCCTGAAGCCACGCCCCACAGCAGACACAGGAGAGAGAGAGGGAACCACACAACTACAGAGGAGGAGGCCTGCTAGACCATGACATTTTCAGTCAATTAAATCTACATTGAGATATGTATTCATACAAACAAGTGGACATGTGTTTCTATTAACAGTGATCAGAGTGTATATTAATTATCAAATATGCATTAAGATACACAACCAGGTAGACATAAGATGAGGACTTAAACACTCAGAAGTGCAAGTTGGAAGAAAACAGTTACACCCCCCGTCAGTAAGACTTCTAACCAAACTTTTAAATTGGCCTCAGTCTCTTCTGAAAGTTACAAGTGTAGGATATTGTAATAGAACCTATTATACTTCTCATAGATTACATTAAATATACATAATGCCTCTCCAAACTGTCAGAGATGTAAATTTACTTCACATGCTTTGGAATTGTTCTTATCTGAAAGAATTTTGGAAATACATTGCTAGAGTAACCTCAGACACCTTAAAAACAAAATCTCATTAGACCTTAGGACCTGGATCTTGGGAGACATACAAGAGCTTAATGTGGACTACAGTAAAAAATACTTCATATTGCTGCGGATACAGCCCTAAACCCCCGATTGGCATCCATACACAGTCCAGACCTGAACCAGGTTCATACCCAGTCTGTTAGAAATCAAGTCTCTAAGTCTCGAGACAATGAGCTGCAGCTGTAAACTCCCCCTAATAGAACCTGTTTGATCCAGAGACTCCAACTCAGTGACGAGGCAATCTGCTGACCAGTGGTGGAAATATGATCAGTCAGTCAGTCAGTCAGTCTGGGATGTTCCATATTATAGGGCTAGACCTGCTGTTGCGGTCCAGCTAACAATCATAGAGGATTTTAGGGGAATCAACTTTTCATTACCTTAAAATGTGCAAGTTTTATTCATTGTGTGTAATTTTAATGTTCAGACTTCAGAACTTATAAACATGAGTGGATTTTTCTTCAAATGTTTTGACTTGAAATGATGAGTTGCATAGATTCACTTTACTCATTCAATGAATGTAGCAGCCACTGTGAACAGTCGGTCTTATCTGTTGTCTTTGCAGTGGCTTCAGCAGCTGCAGCTACAATCTTCATGTCAAATGAAGAACTGTTCTCTGCCAATTCTGCCATAAAAGATGTGAGTAAATCTAACTTTAGCTGAAGTTCTCTTGAAATTGTCAGCTGAAATAATATGGAATTGTTTGTTTGATGAAAAAAAGTTGATTTTCTTGAATGGATGATGTAATATTTGATGATGTCATATTTCTTTTAACTCAGAGCATCAAATTTAGCAAATTATCATCAGTTAAACAACAACTTCACTTTTTGAGCTGAAACAAAACTCATCTTCAACTTGACTCTACTCACTGTTTTAAAGCAGCAACTGAAGGTTGCCCTGAAGTTGAACCACATGAATTATTTTTACAGTGATTAACAATCTGGTGACGACTGGAAGGAATGAGATTTTTCTAACTCTTTGTTTTTGTAATACTCATTTGGATAAACACTTTATTTCTACAGACTCCATCATATCGGCTCTCCATGAAATCCAGGCTAGAATTCTAAATCCTCCTCCTCACCTACAAATTTCTAAGTCTGGAATGGCAAACAGAGCCTTCAGCTATCAGGCTCCTCTCCTGTGGAACCAGCTCCCAGGCTTAATCCAGGAGGCAGACCCCCGCTCTCTCACTTCTATCTTTCTATCACTCTACTTCATATCATTAACTTTGTGTTTTCTCTCTGCTGCTGTCATTTTTATACCATTATTACACCTGTAAGTATCTCTAAGCATCATTTCTCCCCTCTCAACCCAAGTGGTTGAGGGGCTTAAATTTTCTGTGGCACGCACACACGCACGCACACACACACACACACACACACACACACAAATATACATAAATAAGCAATTCAAATGAGGATAAGATCGACCAAATAAAGAGCCCTAGGACATCAACTACAATTACCTCCAAATGTCTCCGCCAAACCAGTCAAGTTGCAGGAAATAATGTCACAACATAATAGACCCTGAAAGATTCCCGGAAACTTAAAAATTTTTTAGAAAATGATAGAACTGGCTTTGGGTGGATTTTTCTCTTTTATTGGGACACAATCCAGGTAGAAAACATGTTAACACAGATACGAAGCTATTACAAACCATCCAAAGACAAAATAAAGAAAAAAAAGTTAAAATGAATAGTTATTTAACTGAAAGGCGTACACTTCAATTTTGGTATAGCAGCCAATAGAACGTCCAAATCCCAAGCTCTTAGCCTCGACAGTGAACTAAATGGATATTTAGGGTTGCCAATGGTTGCCATAGCAACATTTGTACATGTATATTTAACTTTGGACAAATTCAATGTAGATTATAGATTTTACATTCAGTATAGATTAAATATGCCTCTAAAACTGAAAGACAGATAATAATAATGTCTTCAGGGGTCAATCAGAGAAAAATGTTCAGGCCCTTAATAACCACTTGAATTAATATAAAACATCTAAAACCCACTTTTGGGATAAGACTTGCTTGTTAGGACAGGAGAGAAAAGAGAAAGGGGCTAAACTTGATCCTGCTAATCCATAATCCCTTTCTCCATTCTCTTCCCACATGATATTTCACTTTAGAAACCCTGGCCAATCACGTCTGGGTTCTAGGCCGTTGTGTCAGCAGTGCTTGGATCTGACTGGGTGTTTTCTCCTGTCATCAGAGGGCTTCCCGGCCTATAGGAAAGCAAGACAGGAGGGGAAGAGGAGAGTTAGTGGATGAGTGGATTATGTGTGGTAGCAGGCTGAGGAGCTCATTTAACCTTAGGGGAGGAGAGTGGGCTAGGAGAGCTAATCCAATCTGGATTAGGCCAGGTGGCCTCTCCTAGTGGCAGGAGGTGAGCTGCTAACATAAAACTGGGCACTGTGGCTGTAGCTTTGAATTAGAGTTAGTTTGAAAAGGCTTTTATTGTGGCGGTCTAAACACTATGTGATAAATGACTAGTGACTGAAAGTGATAAGTGACTAAATCCCCATGGTTAATCTGTTCAGAAGTAAAGAGCTACAACGATTTACTTTTAAACTATATTATAAATAAAAGAAGTTGCTGAGATAAAACAGAACCCGGACCTTTCTCTACCGCGCTGGGCCAGATTAACCTGAGAGGCCTTTACTGAAACCCCTCCCCCCTGAAACCTCCTGACCTGTTAATTTTTTATGAACCCTGTTGCCTCCAAATCTCCTTTAAGCAGAGAGCAGAGTATTTATGGAAGCATCATTCTGTTCTCAGAACCTCAGAAACCAACCAGGTCTCATGCCAGTCTCTGGAGGGAAGTCATGGTCTCTGGTGTTCTGTGTATCACTAGGTTTGATTAGGGAATATGAACAACACGAGGACAATATGAACTTATACAGAAATTACTTATATGGTCCCTATATTAAGACTGATGTTGCCATATAAGTCACCTATATTATTATCATATGGACACATCATCCCCTGGATATATATATATATATATATATATATATATATATATATGATGATTTTTAATATCAACATATAGTGACAGGCTTTGGGATGGATTTATATCTACACATGTCTACAATGTAAGCATACATACATAAACATACATATTTGTATGGGATAGACATGTCATCATAGATATATGTCAGTATATGAAATTGTTCCCATTTTTAAGAGGTTTAACATGTAATTTTCACATACATGCTTTTGTTTCATATGTTCATATATGTCATATAGGTTCGATATGTATATATATTACATCTGCGTATGGGAAATAAAACCCCCACGTCACAAATCTGAGAAAAGTAACCCTGATGATGTCACAGTGATGTCATCAGGCTTATCAACACTTTGGGTTTTTTTTTAAGAGAAGACATGCATTACCAGCTGGGTTGTGAAGTTAGAAAGAAAAGGAGGGTCTAATGAAAGATACTGTTGCATTATGGTGAGTGTAGGATCCAGAAAGTTATCCAGATTTAAGTCAGGATAACTTTCTTTTTTTAAATCTGTCTCTCGCAAGTTCCTGTCCCAACTTTATGGAGATATAGTTAATAGTTAATAGTTAATATCTTAGTTGATATTGCACCTGAATTTGATAAAAACTCAGTGTTCAGCTAATTGCTACATAGTAAACATGGGACTCTTGGGTCCCCTGGAGTATCAGGGCCTCTCCATCTTTCAATGGTTTTCCCTTTTCCTCTTGTCTGCAGCCCAGTGTTTATTTGACCCATTCAAGCTTTTCGGATCCTTCCATTTATTAGTATTTTTATCTTTTGTTCTGTACATTACACACACACTGTACATGCTTATTTAGGCTATTGATTTTTTATCTATTTTATCTATCTATTTTTTCTGTCCTTATTTGTTCTGTATCACACTTAAAAAATATACAGTATGGGGACATACTGTACATACATACAGGCACATTGACATATCCCTCGAACTCAAAACGATATAAAAACACAATTATTTATTAGGTGTTTCTATCTCCAGCCCCAACTCTATCCTCCTATCACGTGAAGAGTTTTATACTGTGTCTCATCCCTCCTTCAGTTCTGAGGATTTACTTGTTTTACCTGTTTGTACAAGTATAATAAAGAATGTTGCACATGTTGCAGAGCATAAAACATAAGATTTATATAAAATATGTTATTTGAAGAAAAAGATTACAGTTGTGGGTTATTGAAAAATTGATGTACAGATGAAGGATGACTTGTGCTGCTAGGCATCAGGTAGATAAACCAGCTGGTGTCATGTGTTTTGTGTCTGCTGGGAATGCAGATGGCCAGACATGTTGATGTCATTCACTTAAACAGTGAGACTGGCAGCAGATAGAGTCAAAAGCCATCTGTGAGGATTCAAAGTAAACAACCACCAAAGGTCATACTAACCTTGGTGACCGCTTTAAATACATTAATGACACCCTGGTGACAATGATCAATGTTTGTTTTCATTCAACAACTCCAATTCAAATTCTGTCAGTTGTATAGAGAAACACACCTTTAGCTTCACGGAAGCCTATGTTTTAGAGGAAAATACATTTAAATATTTTTTTGTATTAAGATAAAATAATATAATAATAAAATAACAGAAGTAATAATAGGTTAGTTATCTCAAGCTCAAAGCTCAAGTAAAAACTTGACGAGTCAGTTTTTACTTGGAAAGTTGGGCGACAAAGCAGCAACAGAGACCAGTGAGGTTTACCTGGACCCACAGCTTTGTAAGATTACCTGTATGTTGTAGAGACCGGCTCACTTCCCTTGGCCTGAGCAGAAGCTGAGCTGCCATCTTTGGAAAATTCGGAATGGGAAGTCAAACTGGGTCTCTGCTCTGACTGGGTGCGACGGGTAGAGTTGTCTGTCCCTCTTGTGGGCAGCCTGCCTCTGGAGACCTCTCCCCATGGTCTTCCAGAGGAGAAGCTGGTCTGAGAGTGGTGTGACTCGTTTCGACAGAAGACTGAACGGGCATCATGAAAGGACACAGATGGTACAATCTCCTCAGTGTTGTTATCTGTGGCACGTGTTACAGTTCTTGGAGAACTTGGGCGAGATGAGGGCTTAGAGGTGGACTGAGGTCTGAACACAGGAGGGCTTGGAAATCTGTGGCGCACAGAGGGGCAAGACGGGGGTAAGCGGACTCTAGAGACAGGTGGTGCTGTCACAGGCGGGCTGCAAGAGGACATCTCACCTTCACAAAAGTCAATGCTTTCACACCTCTGGCCTGTTCTGGCTTGAAGGGGTGAAGGCCCTTGGCCACTCAGGTCTGCATTAGTTCTCTTGTCAAGAGATTCTGCTGCATTGCGCAGGTGAATGATCTTGCGTGCCTGCTGATAGAGACAGTTAGCCTTCTCCAGGTCTGGATCCACATCAGTTTCTGGTTGCTGCTCTGCATCTTGTGCCCCCATAACAGCATCCTGCCTGACAGGACGGGCAGATGAGATACTGATGGATTTTGGCCTCATGCCGGCTCGGTTTGGCAGCACCTCTACATTCTGCACAGATGCCCTCAGGCGCTGGGAGACTCCAGTTCTTTGGTTTATCATTGGGAGACTCCGAACCGAATCTTCCTCATGACCTGGTAATCCCTCAGTGCTCTGGAAGGAGTTGTCCATCAGAACCTCTGGGGGTGGAGGTGGTAGGTTGTCTACGTCGAGGTCGTCCCTGCCGTCAGGCCAGCTGTTGTTGTTGTTGTTGCCATTGACGACTAAACCCCCCTCATTCCCATTTACTGTGTCAGATACCAGACTTTTCCTGGGCCTCCTGATATGAGGCGGAATATTAGCAAGACTCTGCCCTGGTCTACCATCGACCCCATGGCTAAAGGTATTTATTAGCCTTCTGACAGAGGGGCGCCTGGGTGGTTGGGGTGCTAACATTGGTAAGCAACAAGGTGATTGATTTGTTCTCATGGGGCCTCTTTGTGCACCTGCTGATCCACTTAATGAATGCCGTCTTAGTCCAGCTCTATACAGATTATAATGAGGCCCCACTAATGCTCTGTTTCCTCGGATTTCAGCCATCTTTTTCATTCGCTGATTCAAGTCTCTCTGGCTCTTCTGTAGCTCCATCACTATGTTCACACATCTGGAGGATGAGGAGTGTTCGGGCTTGTTTGCGGTGATGGCAGTGAGGGGACGTTTAACTGCAGGCTGCCGGTCCTGTTTGTAACTTTCATTCATGTAGAGAAGAGGTTGACTGGGATCTGGTGGGGAAGAGTTTGACCTCTTTCTTCCAGGCCTATCACCATCATCATCCTCATACTCTTCTTCATCATCATCATCGTCCTCCTCCTCGTCCTCTTCATCGTCTTCGTTATGACCCACAAGGCTTGGTAAATTACGAATGTTGACTCCAGACCCACAACTTCCAGATCCAGAACTCCCGCGGTGGCGGCGGTGCCTCTCAGACCCTGTCAGACTTTCATTCTCTCCCCCAATACCGCTGTCTTCACTGTGCAGCGCCGAATCCTCGGGGTTAGACTTCTTCATGGCAGCTCCCTCCACCTGTGCCAGCACAAGAGCCAGCCTCTGCTCTGCCGCCTGCTTGGCCTGCAGCTTCTCAACCAGCAGTTTAGAGAGGGAAGAAAAATATTCCACAGCCTCCTCCAGTGTGGTGTCGCCCAGCGCCTGAACCGAGCCTCCCACAAGCCTCATTTTCTCTGTCGAATGCTGGAGCAGTTGCTGCAGAAGATCTGGGGGTGGATCCGGGCAGTTGGCTGTATCAGAGTTGTTGCTAAGTTTAGCTAGCATAACAGCTGGGCCCATCATCCCAGAAGGCAAGGCCATGTAGTCCCCGTGCTCCTTCATCATCAGCTCCCCCTCCTCAGCCATCTCCTCCAGAGCCTGGTTGATCTCCTCAAAGCGCAACACTAAAGCAGACATCATGGGCTGGAGGGACAACTGCGTCTGGGCAGCCTGATCCAGGAGGCCCAGCAGGGTTTCATATTTGGAGATATTAGGGTTCAGGAAGGCATAGGCTGCCTGGTGAGCCCTCACCATGTGTGGAGGGAGGTCAACCTTTGTCTGAACGATAGAGGACTTCCTCAGCCTTTCAGCAGACCTCTTCTTGCCTTTATTTTTCTTTCTTTTCTCTGTCTTTTTGATTTTCTCTGTCTGTACGACCTCACTGACTGTTTCTTGGGGGACCACATTCTCCCCTGTTTCTGGAACGCCCTCTGTATTTTGGGCAGCTGTGTCGCAGGCCAGCTGAGACCATTCAGTATCTTTAGCAGGATGTTCTTCAGTGGGTAGTGGAAGTTCATTCTCTTTCTCATCGGTGTCCAAACATTTGTTCACCTCCTCTACAGGTCTAGAATCAACATTGTGCTGTGATGGTTCAGCCAGCAGAGCCTTGTGAAGTCCTGGGCCTTCTGGCTTTGAAAATAACTTTCCTTTGGATGGAGAACAGCCCATTTTTTAATTTAACGTGACTCAAAGAAAATGTAAAAGTTCTCTTTCTTTAAAGAAAAACGAGTCAGGAGAAAAAGCGAACACCAAAGTGTAAATCCATAAGTAATCTCTGTAGTCGGAGCGTAGGTCCTCTAGAATTCTCCGTCCAGCATCATGTGTTAGTTTCTTCAGTCATTTCGAGGCTCCTCCTCAGAGTTTAGTGGTGAAATGGAGCAGGAACGACACCTGCAACTTGTCGAGTGAGCCGACTGCCTACCAGGGCTTGCACTGGTGAGGAGATGAGAGGATAAGACAGATTGAGGGGCGGGGGGGTTCTTCCCTCTCTCTTCTTTACCACACACAGATGGTCATGTAAAGTGCATCAACACACACACACACACACACACACACACACACACACACACGCATTTACATATAAGACTTTAAGCTCATCAGGTTAATCAGAGCCGAGTTTGTCAGGTGGTGTTTTTAGCCTCATCCACCGTGCTGTTGGTAACGTTTACATGCAACTGTTTGGTAGATAAACAACTCTGTTTACTGAAGTCATCAGGTTCGACTCAGCTTAGTTAATATTCACCTGGGACGTCAACTAACAAATACACATCTTTGGCTATTAAATCCTGATCATATTATAATTTTTTCTTCTAAGCATATCCACACACACACACACACACACACACACACACACACACACACACACACACACACACCCACCCTTAACCCTCAAATAACATTTTAAACTTCTGTGTTCCAGCATTTTGTTTGCCCTGAGGAACCACAGACTTCACAAGTATAGTGGGCTCCCAGTTTTCAGACCCCATGAATATAGTAAAACAATCTCTGAATCTGGTGACCCTAAGGCTGAGGTTTGTGACTAGGGGTGACCAGGTGTTCGCTATTTGAACCCCAACACTCTGGAGCTCTATCCTGACTCAAATCCAACGCTGTGACTCATTAACTTCCTTTAAATCTCTTCTGAAAACACAGCTCTTTGTCCCAGTTTTATTATTCCTCTGCCCCAGCGACAGTCAGAACTGGAGCCATATTGTTTTCAGGTTGTCTGTCTGTCCCTTTCTCATGGACACGATATCTCAGTAACACCTAGATGGAACTTCTTCAAATTTGGCACAAACATTCACTAGGACTCAAGGACGAACTGATTAGATTTTGGTGGTTAAAGGTCAAAGGTCAAGGTCAGTGTGACCTCACAAAACACTTTTTAGGCATTATTCAAGACTTTACACAGCAATTATGACAAAATTTCACACAAATGGTTCATATTGTATATGACTCTGGATAAACAGGGATGTAACCTAAAACTAGTCTGAGTGGAGGAGGCAGACAACCACCAGGAGGTCATGCTAGTTTCATTTTATTTTATCCCTAATTACTGTTTTTACATATTCTATTGACTCTCCTCACTTACTGTCAGATCCTTTTGCATAATGTTGATTTGAGGAGTTTTTCTTTTTATTTATGCTTATTTTATTTTATTATTTATTTATTAATATCTATTATCTTATTTCTATACTTACCCTAACCATAACCACTACCTGCCCAAGATCAACCACTAACCCAAAAATCAGCTTTTTCCAACACACACACAAACGCATGCACGCACGCACATGCACGCACGCACGCACGCACACACGCGCACACGCGCACACACACAAGATCTCTGAGATAATGGAGATTGGATCTGTATTAAGATAGTGTTCTGTTCTCAGCGTGAGATCAGGCTTCACTGATACTCTGTCATGTAACAGTGACAGTTTGACCTAAATACAGCAGCAGGAATTCACCTGGACCAAATACAATCATCAACACATCTTTTCAAAATGTGACTAATCTTAACTTGATCATGTAAAAAAACAAGTTCCTCACCTGGCACTTACCTAGGCCCTGTAAACTGCACCAGCACCTGAACACATGGCTTGGATGATAACATCACGGCTTAGACAACATTGATTATTTGTGGTTTTCCTCTTAGTTGACTGAGGTGGTTTACAGTAAATGAAACATTTGCTTCCTCTTTATCAATGGTTAATAAACATGTATGAATGTTTTATAAATCTGTTATAAGCAAAGAATAGAACAACTTTTTCCATGTTGTGAAAACGTGTCTGACTGCTGAATAAGGTTTTGTCCAGATGCAGCTTGTTTCCAGAGGAACATATAAATGACATGTTGCCCTTGAACAAGAGACTTTTGGAATCTGCAGGTATGCCAGGTGTGAATACATGTAACCAGGGTATAACAATAATACCTGTTGAACTTCATATACTGTAGCCCTGCTGGTCATAGAACCCCCAAACTGTGGAACAGTCTACCTACTGGGATCAGACAGGCTACATCTGTAGTGTCTTTAATCAGAAAGCTTTTATGAATGTTTGATATGTTGTTGTCTTTTATTTTCCCATGATACGGACAATTTATATTTTCATGTAACTTACTTCTTTTTTTATATAGATATATAAACATACATAGATTATCTTGTGTGTGTATTAATGATGAGTCATTAATAAATAAGAAGAAAGAAATATTTAAATTAGCCTAAAATACTAAAAATGAAGACCATAAGATATTGTATCATATTGTAACATACGCTCTCCATTTGTTGCTAAAACAACCAAATTCCAGACAGTAATACCCAGGACATGACCTCAGTGGACCTATAGACTTGATATGACGAACAAACTTTCACCCAAAAACTAATTTCAGACAGCGAATGCAAGTGTGTGAACGTGAGGCGCCTGTGGGGAATACGTGCAGACTCATCAACTCTCCTGTGGATTAACTGAGTATATAAAAAAACTGCACTCTCAGAAAGAGGGTAATCACAGCATCCCAGAATCCCAGAAAGCCTGACCGTGCTCTCTGTAATCCCTGCCCCTACGCCCAGGTATATCACAGTAACACAAACAACACAGCAGAAGGAGCTTAAGCAGCTGGAGGTCTGCCCTCTGCTCAATGTGCTGCCTGTTAGCCTGGTTTAGTGGTTTAACAGTGAGGACTATGTTACTTTATATATATTGATACCACTGTATATGTATATGATATTATTATTACATGGACTGAGGACTACATGACAGGCAGACCACAGTTTGTGAGGCTGCAGAGCCGTGTGTCTGAGCATCTGGTCTGTAACATCAGGCCCCCCAGGGTGCTGTGCTATCTCCCTTCCTTTTCACCACCTACACATCAGACTTCAAGTACAACAATCGACAGAAGTTCTCTGATGACACTGCCATTGTGGGGTGTGTGGAGGGTGGACAAGAGGAGTACAGGGTCCTACTTGTGCAGGTTGTATAGTAGTAACTCCATCAAAGAAAAGCTGTAATGATAAAAGTAAAGATTTCCCAGCTGATCTAGAGGATGGAAATCAGGACCAATCCAGACATTTCTTGTTTAACAAGTTTGAAGTCAGAGTGTTGCACCTGGAATGTCAACAAAATACAGCAACTGCCACTTTCAGTAAATGATCCTGAAAGTGAGACATCAGACAGATCATCTGGTTTTATATAACACGGGGTGACTTATCTATATATATATACTGTATATATATATATATATATATAAATGCACACACACGCACACATATGATAAGATAGATAGATAGATAGATAGATAGATAGATAGACTAAGTAACTGAGTTAAAATACAATAAAATACAGTGAAATACAAAGACAAAAGACTAAAATACACAGGATTCTCAATAAAACCGAAAGGTGGATAAATATAAATAAATAAGTATGTTCATACTTCCTGTAACATTCCCTTGTGCAGTGGGGTTGTATGAGTCTGTTGCTGAGTTTTATGGAGGGGATGGTGGGGGACACTGTCCATGATTTTCAGCAGCTCTGTCCTCAGCCCCCTCCTCCAGTGAGACCAGCCTCAAACTAACAACAGACTTGGACTTCTTAATGAGTTTCTTCAGTCTATTGACATCCTTTGCTTCGATGACTGCACTGCAGCACACCACAGCAAAGACCAACACACTGATAAAACATGCTGAGCATCTCGTTGCAGACAGTGAAGGACCTCAGTCTCCTCAGGTTGGTGGACCAGTCCAGCTTGTCATCCAGTGTCATGCCCAGACACCTATAGGGCTTAACGATGTCAACGTTAGTCCCACCGATGCCGACCGGAGAGGGTGGGGACGTGTTCCACCACAATCTATTTTGTCTGTGCAACATTCAGCTGCAGGTGATTCTCCCCACACCACCTGAAGAAGCGATCCACCAGGACCCTGTTCTCCTCCTCTTGTCCACCCTCCACACACCCCACAATGGCAGTGTCATCAGAGAACTTCTGTCGATTGTTGTACTTGAAGTCTGATGTGTAGGTGGTGAAAAGGAAGGGAGATAGCACAGCACCCTGGGGGGCCTGATGTTACAGACCAGATGCTCAGACACACGGCTCTGCAGCCTCACAAACTGTGGTCTGCCTGTCATGTAGTCCTCAGTCCATGTAATAATGATATTATATACATATACAGTGGTATCAATACAGTAGATTAGGCTTATTTAAGAGGAGCTACACACTGTTTGTTTGTATCTAGTTTCACCTGCTAATGAACCACTACTAATACATATAAGAACAGAGGAGGCTGGTTGAGGCTGTGTGTTGTGGGTCAGCTGCTCATCCTGCTCACATTGCATGAATGCAGCATAACTAACATTGTTACCTGCACCATTTTGTCAGACTTGTGTCCAAGCTGTTGTTTTCGGATTTTTATGGACTAGAATTAACCAACTGAGCCACCACACCAGCTGTCAGCTACTGCAGCATTTTACTGACTGGTGAATGAAACACACGTCTTGTGTATTTTACTCTTTTACTCTCGTGGACTTATGTGTACTAGATTAATTATGTGTTGTACTCACTATAAGAACTTTGTGTTGATCTGGCACTGGTGATACGTCCTGTCACGAGGCACAGTTCTACTACATATGTAAATCCCAATTCAACTGAAAAGTTAATTGGAAACTTTTAGTTTAGTGCAGTACAGTAACATGAAAGTTATGAGTACACCTGACACAAAATGACCTGTCATATGACCCTCGTCTGACTGGAAATTTATATCAGTTCAACATAAAAAAAAAAACATATCAACCTCACAAGGGATGAGTGTGTCAAGGGAACATGAAGTTTTTCTGTCATTCTGAGGGTTTACAGTGACTATGATTTCAGTTTTCATGTTACTGCACCTTTGATCTGACTCGTTTATGAGAATTCATGGTTTTCTGATTTGTATTCATCATGTCATTGAATTCAATGGACCAGTGCTGTCTTCAGTCACAACTGCCTCCAGTAAAAACCACAAAGGCAATGTACTGTTTTCAATGTGTTTAGCTTGTTTAGCTAACTGTAGTGTTATTTTATTCATGGTAAACACACTCCAGCTGTTGTCACCCACATACTCAACACGAACAGAAATGTTATGTTATTATGAAGAACTCCTGCATAGCAACACTTGATCAAATCTCTATTTGTTCAGCCATGACACAATAAATACTTTCACTGACAATAGCTGCATTGTGACTTCAGCTGTTCACATAGAGGATGAACCACAGAGAGTCAGAAACAACCGAGTGCCGGCTTCCAGTCATTGCTGTTTTAAGGAAGTTTTCAGTAAAAGCTGACAATCATACATCTCTGTTCTTGTAAACCTCTGATTTGGATGGTGACAGATATGGTCTGAGAGTGAATGTGGGCTAGAAGGAAATGATGGGTTTTGTGATCAGTGAGGACAGGCCAGTGGTTGTGTTTGAGCATGAGCAAGTGTGCTTGTGTGTTGACAGGAAAAGCAGCTTTAATACCCTTGAGGGGGATCAGTAGTGATTGGCTGACACTTGTGTAACAGACTCAGATTGTTATTACTGTGCTATTCTCAGCTGTTTCCCCTCTAGCCTTTTCTCTTAGACTTGCACAAGAACTGCCCCCCCCCCCCCCCCCCACACACACACACAGATCATGTCAGAGATATGAGGAGCTGGTGTGTGTAGGCATCGCTGCAGAGAGTATGCTGCTTAAGAACAAATAATAATGAATATATTATTCTATCATTATTGATTTTTCTGATGGTGACAGGTCAAAAGATTTGAAATAATCAAGAATTAAAAAGAACATCCATAATTACAGTTAATCTCAATAAAAAAACACTAAATCCCAATCTCTGAACCAAAACAACCGTTTGATATTATTGGTGAAGCACTGATGAGTTCAGGAGGTTTTAGACTGGATCTGTGAACCTCTCACATTACCAGACAATCTGGTACTGACCAAGGTCCAGGACCAGATTTGTCCTCTGATTGTCCGGAGGTAAATCAGTGCTAAAACAAACTCCTGACTTCTGCTGACTTTGGGTTATATTAGCTTGTAGTCTTATAACAATATGAAACAATGAGTTATCTTTAGTCTTCTGTGTAGTGAATAATACAACAGGTTTCAGTAGAAAACACAAATGAACTTTACTCGGATTTCCAGCTGAAAATATCTTACAAAAAAACATCTTACAAAGAAAAGGAGCATGGTATTCAGAATCACCTCCTGGTGGTTGTCTGCCTCCTCCACTCAGACTAGTTTCAGGTTACATCCCATAGTCATATACAATATTAAACAATTGGTGTGAAATTTTGTCATAATTTCTGTGAAGCCTTGAGTTATGGCTAAAAAGTGTTTCCTGAGGTCACACTGACCTTGACCTTTGATGTTCAACCACCATAATCTAATCAGTTCATCCTTGAGTCCAAGTGAACGTCTGTGCCAAATTTGAAGAAGTTCCTTCAAGGCTTTACTGAAATATCGTGTCCATGTGAATGGGAAGGATGGACGTATGTATGCACAGACAACCTGAAAACAATATGGCTGCAGCTCTGACTGTTGCTGGTGTTGAGGCATACAAATTAAAAACTATTTTTAGATGGATAAACTCCTACATCGCCTCGTCACATTCGTTCCTAGCGTATTAGACAGTGGATAGGAATGAGTCTTTTCATCAGGTGCGGGAATTATGACGAGCTCTGAATCAGTAGGGCTGACCTCACCCGACAGTATAGTTGTCATGCTTGATATGGAGAACCTGTCTTTCTTTAGTGAGGGTATGTTCATCTCAGAGACATCGTACGTCTCTGAGCCCGTCTCTGCGTCAACATTTCCACTGGAGACGACTCTCCACCTCCTCAGAATCCTCTCCAGTGTGTCGGTCTTTGACCCACAAAGTGCTTCGTAGCACTTGGGCAAAAAATGGCAGAAGATGATGCCATAGCTGGAGACTAGAATGGCTGAAGCCTGTGTAGGGGTGCCCCTTTCCCTGTTGGTAATATAAATTGGGATAAAACACACCCATACAAACAAGTACATCAGCATACTAAAAATGATGTAGCCTGTTTCACTGAACTCATGAGGAACCTTCCTGCCTTTGTAGGCCAAGAGGAAGCCAATGAATGCTAGTAGAGCTATGTAGCTCAACATAGTGGCAAAACCTATGTATGTGTCACCCTCACTACACTGGATTAGATTTTTCATGCTCTGTGGGGATGGAGGTATGTAACTGACATGAGGAGAGTCTAAGATCATCCAGAGAAGACAGATGATCCCCTGGAGAGTTGTTATCACAGTGACAATGACAGGTGGGTTGTAACATTTGTGTAGTCGCCTATTTACTATCTGACCAAAAGGAAGGAAAACCAGGAAGGTGCGATAGGCCTTGACTAGGATGGAGGACACACACAAGGTGAAGCCCATGGCATACATGACCTGGCGGGCCCTGCAGAGGTGTACACTAGGCCTGCCCATGTAGCACATCACACTTGCGAAGCTCACTGCCAGGCCAGCCATCATCACAATGGACAACCTCACCTCGGCTCTTTTCATAGGCAGAGAATCTCTGTACACCAGAAAGATAATGAAGATAACCAGCAAAAGAAAAATGCCAAAGGCTGCAGCTGACAGCTGGGTGATGGGATGAGGATCACTCCATCGAATGTAGGAATCCCATCTTGGCTTGCAGTGATCCCAACCCTTGAGAGACCAAGTTCCATTGGGGCACTTTTTGCAGGCATTAAAATCTGTTGAAGAATAGGACAATGTACAAATTAATTTGGGGTCTGCTGGAAACCAAATCTGTCCTTCACAGAGACAGACTTACTTTTAAAGGCCTTTTTACAGTCATTTACTTACATAGACCGCACTACTCAGATGTATGCCTACCCCATGGGCATAGCCATCTGTAAGAGCCGCAGTATCTCAAGATGATTACAGTTTTTTGCAGTTGCTTACACACTAAAAGTGAATGCTCAGACAAAAATATCAAAATCTTAACTTTTATGATCATGCATTAAACCACAGAACCAAAAGCACAAACACATTTTCTACTTTTCACTTTGTTTTCAATTCTACAGCACACACTTGCAAAAATACTACACACTTTTTCTTACATTAGAAACTTTGCTCAAGCATTAAATTGTGGGAAAACACAAAACACACCTGAATTTCACAACACCCACCCACAGACCTGAAAATACTTGTACAGGAATTGAAGACCACTCAATCTGATCCTTGGCGCTACATATACTGTAGACCTCAAGTGAGCTTCTGTGAGAACTTTGCAAACTGTGCCAATGAGGGGAAGAGGAAGAGGTAGAGGTAGACAGAGAGGAGGTGGAAGATAAGGGACAGAACAAAGTAGTCCAGACAATAGACAGACACATATTTCATATGACATTCAGACCACTTTTGTGGACCATTTCATAAATCATGGCCTGACACTGGAGGAGGCTGGGCAGAGAGTCCAGAGCAACCTCATTCCATACACGGTAGCAGTCAAGAACAGGTCTTCAACTTTCTACTAGACTGAACCTTTCACTGCATCAGCACTAACTTACAGTGAAGCAGCTGTACATGTTCCATTAGACAGGAACAGTGTTAGAGTCAAAGACTTTCTCTATGAATATGTACAAGTAAGTGGCAGTGATTGTGTTGTGTTGCCAATGGATACATTCAGACAAAGCAGTATGTGACGTAGGTACTAGGTGTCTGTGGGGGTATTTGCCTATCTGTCCCAACCCACCACAGCCCCATCCCTGTGTGAAAATGTAGGCTTACTTAAATCATATTCACAGTTCAGTGTAAACATGTTCTGTGACAGTCCTGGACTTTGATGCAGCTGCAGCGGTAAATTCTACTGTTCTGTGAAAACCCGTTCTGGTAAAATCAGCTTTTTTCGGAATATTATTTTTCAGTTTTTCAATATTTCTGTGTTGTGTGAAGGCTGTATGACAAAATTAAAAAGATATATAAAGCTGTAAAGGCAGCAATGTTTTATTTTAAATTCATATCAAATTCATGTGTTGTTGCTGCTTTCAAAGAGTAATTCAGATGGTGCATGTGTGTATGGTTTTTTGTTAATGAATTGCCATTTTGGAAAAGGATTGTCAGGTTTGAGTTTGACATAGGGTTAGGGTTAATGAGAAGCTCACCTCTTATTTGGCTTGTGTGTGGAGTTTTGACACAGTGAGCCAAATTGTGAAATAAGTGTGGAAGCAATTGCAAAAAAATGTAACATTTTGAAGCTAAATATAAAATCAGCGTTTCAATAAGTCATACCAGGCCCATCTGAGTAGGTCCCCTCCGTACATTGGGTGCAATTGTAACAGCAGGAAACGTTCAAGATCTTCTTCACCCAGCCACGGGGGCAGCTCGCTGAACATCTGGACTGAGGCTTCTGTGAGAGCATAACAAGAAACTGGGCTGAAACATACTGAGGTGTCATGGTCATACTCAGAGACGTGAGGATCTACCGCTGTTAAATAGTGATCTTGTGGTCAGCAGTCAACAACTACAGTGTCTGTGTGTCTCAGACACAGTCATGCACTCAACACCTCCTGGGTATCTTAGTTATTGACATTGAAAATCTATCTCAGCTGTTAGTGGCCAGATGTTTCTGCCAGTAAGGATCTACCTAAACCCCAGCTGACATATTAAGGGTTCAGTGGGCTAGAAACAAACTACAGTAGCTTGAACATATGTCATCCAACCACATCTAAAGGCCAACTTTTCAATGGCCACACTTGAAGGCCCTATGGTGACCATCTGACCTTTTCTGCTGACTCAGGCACTGTCCTGATTACACTGACTGTTGCAGTGATCAAACCTGTGAGTATATGCTTTGAGTGTGGTGTTTTCTTACCGTATTGTTGCCTGTTGAGAGCCAGGTGAAACTTCCCACATCGAGTTCTACTTGTTGACGAAGGACATGGTATTTTCCAATTCTTCTAAATCGTCTGTGTTGTCCATACTTTTCCCATATGATCAGATCATACCCGTTCACAAAATCACCATTTTCGTCAAAGTAGAAGTTCTGGTTGGCAAACGTGAAATTAACTTTCTTCAATTCTTGAAGAAGCTGCAAAGCAAAGGGCAAGATTTCAATTAAAACTGGGCCTTTGCAGGTATGAATCATTGATTCTAAGGCTGTGTCCTAATTCAGGGGCCGCATCCTTCAGAGGCTGCATTTTTTGAAGACTGATTGCGTCACAGCAGCGCGACTAGACCATCCTATTTCAAAAGCTCCTTCAAATGAATCCTTCTTTTCCTAGGTGTGGCCTATCCCAAGATTCACTGTCCACCACTAATGAAACCAAACAACGCCGTCAGAGAGTCTGAGGATTGCACTGTTAAATGTAAGTATTGGGTTTCAGCTCAGTTCAACAGATAACAATACAACTGTGAAAACAAAGGTCCTAAAAGCCTCAATTTATTGTAAAAAAAAAAGTCATGCATTGTTAAGGTTGCTTTGCGATGCAATGGTAAGGGCGGGCACAGCTACTTGCCGCACAGTAAAACACCTTCATAGACCAGACTGTCTCATTTCAGTTCAGACTTTGCGATCTACAGCGGCCATACCTTCGTAGACCACGCCCTCCGAAGGATGCAGCCCCTGAATTGGGACACAGTTTAAGAATTCAAAGGAAACACACATCACTGTAGTTTCTTAAGTATGGAGAAGTTACATTTTCATATTTGAATATGTTCTCATCTGAAGATGACATCAATTCTTACCTCCCATGGTGGGAAGTTGATTTCTCCGGCGCATGAGGAGCTGTTGCACTTCAGGAGCTTCTTGAGAGCATTTGCTACGGCCCACACAGCGACTTTGCTGAGGAAGGTTTCACTTGTGTCAACAGCTGTCACAAGATAGTCATCATTTTGCTCTTGGGGATCCTTGACATTGCATGCATTTCCAGATCTAATTTTCAGGAGTTCAGGTGACGCACAATGGGATGGAGGGTTGTTTGAGAAACATTCAGAGGAACAGTTGAATCTCAGGTTCTTGTATTCTTCAATGAAGTAGTTATATCCTCCTGGGGTTGCTGTGAGATTCTTCAGATAATTATCAAATGATTCACTCTTGCTTGCAACAAAAGTGAAGCCCAAGATGTCCCCAACCTTGTTAATGTCATCTATCGTGGCAAGAGACGAACTCCTGGACCAGACATCACTGGCAATCCAGATCCTTGATGTGTTGGTCCGGATCATTTCCTTAAAGAGGACCTCCACCAGACTTCTCTTGAGGATTAGCAATACCACCTGGGCACTGGAGGAACGGATCTGCTGAGCCACCTGCTGGATACCTTCCCTGAGGTCTGAGTCATCAAGGTTATGAGGCAACACCTTACGGTAGGCTACGCACACATCATTTGCCTCAGCATCTTTGAGGAAGCTCTCGTAAGCTGCTTTGCCATAGTCATCATCTCCATACACAACCCCTACCCAGTTCCAGTTGTAGTGATGCAACAGTTTGGCCACTGCTTTGGTCTGATGAGAGTCACTAGGAATAGTGCGCAGGAAAACTGGATAGCGCAGCTTATCACTCAGCTCGGGTGAAGATGATGTGGCACTCAGCTGATAAAATGAAATTAGACAAGAGGCGTTTTAAATATAAGAGAATAAACACACATTAACAGACAGAGGACAAGTTAAAGAAAAAACCTGAAAAATGAGTGGAGAAATAGGATTAAAATGTTGGTTTGACGTGTATGAAATTGATATCAATCATATGTTATGACCTTCACAGAGATGTGTTAGACAGCACTCTCCACCACCATCATCAAAACACCACAAGAGAGAATATCTTTAAGAAGAATGGTTCATCCTCCAGTGGAGTTCAGAGACCAGCGAAGCTGCTCTGGGGACACATGACTAAGACACTTTCTAACCAAGTAGTTCTAGAGTTTAAACCTAACCAAGCCATGACCGTTATTATAGTAACCACAGCTTTGGCCTATTTGATGGAGCTAGGCCAAATGTTTCCCACTGCTTCCATTGTTTGTGCTGATCTAAGACAAACATGTCTTGGGCTGTACAGAACGCAAACTAGAAATTGAAAAAGATCATCCAACTCCATTGAAGAAACCAAACATATTTCCAAATATCGCATACTATTTCTTAAACAAATGCAGCTTCAGCATCGAAGACTAGATGCACATTATTAAATCCTTAGACTCCTCAGCAAATCTGATGTTAGTAAAAAACAGTAGTAGTGATCAGAAATGAAAACACACATTTATTAAATACTTACTAAAGGGACCATATACACATTTAGCAGTCTGGCCAAAGCAATGGACTCCTCAGAGTACAGTGCTCCTAAAATAATCTTGACGGTGGGCCTGAAGTCGGTGTAGTCGCACTTAACATTTAGAGTGTTGTTGACTTCGAGCATGTGCCCCACATCCTGCAGAGCTTTGCTGGCGTATGAGCATGTGTCACACAGCATATATCCAAGATGCACTCCTGGGAGGAAACCAGATGCATTTATCTCCTCAATTTCATGGATTATAGCCAAGGATTTTAGAAATGATTGCAGATCAAAACTGAAAAAAGACAATGTAGAAAACATTAAATTCTGTGTTTGAAGAACTGTGGCAAAAAAGCAAGTTATTTAGTCATTTTTATAAATGTAAATATATAGACTCCATATATTAAAGGTGTTTCAGTCATAGATAAAGAGGTGAGGATCCGGGACTGTGTGTCTGACACCCTCTACACTGCAGACTTCTCTTACAACTCCACTAACTGCCACCTGCAAAACTTCTCTGATGACTTTTCAATTGTCTGGCTCATCACTGATGAAGATAACAGGGAGTACAGAGAACGGACCCAGGGCTTTTTGAACTGGTGCCATGAGGAACCACCTCCAGATCAAGGCTGGGAAAATCCAATAGCTGTTGGTGGACAGGCGGCAACCTCCAAGGCTGACCAATGAAGCCATGACTGAAGAACCAAAAACTGCAGTTCCTCTAATGACCACTAGAGTCTGGCTCCAACAGTGAGTCAATCCCCATAGACTCCCATGTTAAAATGTCCAACTTTACAGCAGAAATAAATGTTTACAGCCTGGTACAAAAACTGTTTTGGTCTCTAGAGCTAATTTCCTACTTCATGACACCTGTTTATATAACTCACCTGTTCACATTTTATTAAGGCTTAAAGTTATGGAGAATTGTTAGTGTGGCTGCTTTGAGTGACAGGTGGGTGAGCGTATGCTTGCCACAAACTGACATGCACCGATTGTGACAGTGGAGCAGCTCACTCTGAGCTTCAGAAACCTGTGGGTGCCGTCACAGAGGCTACGTCCATCTTTATTTACAGTCTATGATGGTGGACTTCCGCAGGCACAAACACTCTCCTGTCAGGCCAGTGAACATCCAGGGACTGGACATTGAGATTATGGACTACCTTGGTGTTCACCTGAATAAAAAACTGGACTGGACTCACAACACCGACACACTTTATAAAAAAGGACAGAGTAGACTCTATCTGCTCAGGGGACTCAGGTCTTTTGCAGTGCAGGGGACACTCCTGAGGACCTTCTATGACCCTGTGGTGGCATCGGCCATCTTCTTTGCTGTGGTCTGCTGGGGTAGCAGCATCTCCACTGCTGACAGGAAAAGGCTGAACAGACTGATCAAGAAGGACAGCTCTGTTCTGGGATGACCCCTCGACCCAGTGGAGGTAGTGGGCGACAGGAGGATGATTGCTAAGCTAGTATCCCTGTTGGAAAACATCTACGTCACTGACAACATTGAGCAGCTCCTTCAGTAACAGGCTGCTGCACCGCAGTGTGTGAAGAAGAGAGGTCTTTCCTTCCTGCTGCTGTCAGACTGTTTAACAAACACTGCACTCAGTGACTGACAACTCACCATGTGCAGTATTCCTTATCTCCTGCTATTGTTGTTATATTTAAATATCTAATTGTAAATACTATGTTATTATTGTTTAAGTATTTGATATAGTATAGTATTTTTCCTTCTTTGTACTGTCCACTTTTACATCCTCTGACTTAATTAACAGAAAAGTACAATTTAGTGTGAACAATTTATAGAGAAATGAGCTCACACAAAACCACAAAGCACTGAGGACGCAGACTTTGGACCAACAAGGCTACAAAACATCAGAATACTAACTGACTGTATTTCCTGTTTTTTTTAGTACAATTTATGTAAAGGCAGAATATCTGTCTGTGAGATTCTGAAATGTGACTGAAAAATTGAATTAATTTAAAAACATTTAAACAGTGAATACTCTGAACTATCCACTGAGCTACATGTGAAAACTACTGTCTATATCCCTGTTGATGTATGAATACATCTCATGTAATAAATCCATCATCATCTTATACTCACTCTGAGCAGAGGAAGTTTTCAGGTCTAATCCGTTCATTAATTCCCTTCACTTTGTGATGACATGGCAACATTATACCGATGACCACATCCCCTGGAGCGTGGGCCCCACAAATGGAGTGAGCAACGTCACATCCATTCACACCCGGCGGCAGGACGCTGCTCAGGATCATCAGGGCCGAGAAGCAGCACAGCAGACCACACGTGTGCATGGTGACTGGAGCAGTAACTGCTGCAGGGACATTCAGGAGCTATTTGATCTCTGGCATGGAATTTGGGAGGTGCTAGACACAGCGCATACAATAAACCTGTTGTAAAGCAGAAATAGAAAGAATGCTTCATAGTTCAAATCTCAGCCTCCACGCATTTCCCACCGTGACCAAAGAATTTCTTTGACTGACACAGATCACTGTTTCTGTGGTTCTGATGTGGGGAGCAGGGACCTCGACCAGCTGTGTGAGTGAGTGAATGAACGCATAAATGAAAGGGTCCAACAACCAAGCAATCGATCAAAAAATAAAAGTGATTTATTTTCCCTGTATTCTAATAAAAGCAATAGGGTGCTCATGTGTGTGTTGAACTGGTTGTTGTGCAGCCTGAACTGTGTTGTTGCATGGTTGCTGTGTCTCTGCTCTGTCTTCTTGCTTTGTGAGTAGACTGTGTAATGTGTGGTTGGACCAGAATGGTCCACGCAAAAATCAGGCAGGACAAGAAAATGAGTGGGCAGGGCAGCGAACAGAAGAATCATGACTAGCAGGCTAAAGATAACATTCCTCACATGGCTGTGGACCCATAAACCTTTTCATCAAACGCTTTGTCAAGTCTGTTAATTTCCTTCTATTCACTGACACTTTCACATGTTAAACCACAACAATGTAGGGTCCTTTTCAGTTTCTGTGGGTGGAGGTTGAACTGTGACGTGAAGGAAAAATGTCATTTCAGTCTATTTTAGATCAGGACTAATTATCCCACAGGTTTCACGTGGGATCTGTTTCTGTTGTGCGTGTATGTTTGGATCAGGTCTGAACTGTTGGTCCTGGTCCAGGTCTAACTCACATGTGCTTTAGTTGATACATGCAGCGTGAGCTTTTTTCCTTGAACCTTCCTTTCACTCTCTCCCTCTCCCTCTGTCTCTCTGTATTTATATCTCACTACTTCATGTCATTGACTTGTATTTTCTCTTTCCCCTAGTTTGTGCTTCTCCTCTCTCTCTCTCTCTCTCTCTCTCTCTCTCTCTCTCTTCATTTGAGGTCTCTCAGACTCTGGAGCTGCAGAATCCACATCTGACACAACAACATTATCATTACCATTACCATTATTATTATTATTATTATTATTGGGTAACAACATATCAACATCTCTCTCTCTCTCTCTCTCTCTCTCTGTCCTCATTCATATCTCTGACTCTGGAGCTGCAGCATCTGCCACTACAACATTATTATTATTATTATTATTATTATTATTATTATTATTATTATTATTATTATTATTCGGTATTACTATTTTCACTATATCAACATATCAACAGTATGTACAGCTAGTCTCTCTCTCTCTCTCTCTCTCTCTCTCTCTCTCTCTCTCTCTCTCTCCAATAGCTTTATTGGCATGAACAAAAGCATCTTGTTGCCAAAGCAGTTTACAGAATATTAAAATAAATACATATAATAAAATAATTATTGGGGTGATTTCGTGTTGTGTGCCACCGTCTGTCTTGATTGTATCACTGGCCAGTGTCTAAAATGTTCAAATCCGACACATGAGGCTTAAAAGAGCATGAGAGCATAAAATATAAAGGGGAAGTTTTGTCCTAAAAGGACCGTAACAGAAGACACGAACCTCATTTGATGAAATTAGACTGCTGACGCCTTGTATCAGCACACAACAAAGACCATCAAATACATAGGAAAAAATTAGGAAGGATTAATGTAATGGTCAGTAGGAGGAGGGTTTAAGTGTACATACTGTATGGGCACGTGAGCCTTGAAAATATGGGGGAATCTGTCCTTTAAGGCCGCAATGTTTTAGTTCAGCTTCATCTTCATCTCCAAAGAGAAATTTGTGTTGCAGCAGGTGAAACACAGAACATGCACAGAGTTGTACATAAAGTCAAATACTTAAAACATAATAAAATACATAAAACAAAATACATAAATCATAATATAATAAGTAAAACAATAGAACATGTAAAACATAATAAAATACATAAAACATGATAAAATACATAAAACAATAAAATATGTAAAACATAATAAAATACGCAAACACTTTAAACAATGTGCAGCATCAGTGACCATTTATGTCTGTTGTCCATCCAGCTGTGCGTCAACCAAAACAGCTGTGACTGTTGCAGTTCCACTACTTCAATTGTGTATAACTGGTGCTGTGGTCGTACGGACAGATGACCTGTGGTTGTTCAGGTTCAGACTGTTTGTCTGTTTCTATTGACAGCATACTAATTCACTGCGTCACTGTCTGGTATGGGACCTGTGTGTTAGAAAGGCCACAAAGATAATGACTGACCCCTCCCACACCTCCCACCACCTCTTTGATCTTTTGCTTTTTAGTGGGGCAGATAGGCAAAACAATTGTTAATTTCATGACTAAAGCAAGCAAATTTCAGCATTCAGTATAATCTACATACCCCAAGGTTTTATTTCAGACATGGAGGCAATTTGGATCTGACCTCTGGTGACCTCAGCATTGCATTTTTCCAGTTTTTGCCCCATTTCTCCATGATAATCATGTATATCTTATCTGTATGTATATATGTATATATATACATACACATATATATATATACTGTATCTATCTGACAAAATTGCATAAAGATGCGTATTTGCTGATATGGCCATGTAACATCATTTTGCTTAGAGCGCTGCAGACCCCACCATTTCCAGGTGTTAAGGTATATAGCTTGTTAAAAACATGGACAACTTGTGCTGTATGTTCTATGGCATCACATGACTAGCTAGCACATTAGCGAACACTCTAATCAGAAGCCAACATGCTAGTTTGGTCTGGACCACACTCATTACTCCAGGGGGCTCTACCCTGTCCCAGAGGTCAAGCTCAGTGTGACCTCACAAAACACTTTTTAGCCATTACTCAAGACTTCACACTGAGACTATGACAAAATTCCACACAAATGGTTCATATGTTACATGACTGGATAAACAGGGATGTAACCTGAAGCTAGTCTGAGTGGAGGAGGCAGACAACCACCAGGAGGTGATTCTGAGTCTTTTAACGTGTCTCTGTCTGTCTGACTGGTGTAGAACAATATCTTGCTCCTATCTATGCAAAGTGTGTATTATGGAAGTGACAAATAAATCTGATTCTGATTCAGATTCTGAAAACAGCTCCAAATGCACTGAACACTGTTTAACACATTCACATCTTATTGAGTTTGTAGAAAGCACTATAATATAAAATGCCTTGTTACAACCAATCACAGTAGAACTTATCTGCTGGACAAACACAACATACTGTAGCTGTAGAGCTTTAGCACTATATTAGGATGTTTATTATTCAACTGATCCTGCAGAGTGGCTTCAACATTATGTCACTGTTGTGTTTGAATGTCTTGAGGTTTGTAGATTGTTTGCCCCACACACAGTGATATTTATATCTTTACAGTCATGAATGAAGCTACAAGATGCTGTAAGTTTACAACTTACTGACTGTTTAGCTTTAGGTGTTCTTAAAGCTTTACTAGCAGTGAAGCTAAAATGTCAAGTTTGCGCTCAGTGGTGGAAAATTTTCATTTTCTCAAGAAATATTTTGAGGCACCTATTTCACTTTTATGCTTCTTTATACTTCCACTGCTCTGCGTCTCAGAGGGAGATATAATTTTACTGCACTACATTTATTTGAGAGATACAGTTACTACACAGTATATACAGTTACTAGTTACTTTCCAGATTAAGATTTTATATTAAAAAAGCACGATAAAATGTTTGAGTGTAATACATTGTCAAAGATGAAACCACTGGTTACAAATAGGTTCAGCCTTTGACCTCTTACAAAAACCTTGTCATGAGTTGGATGTGTGTGAGTAGTGAGCAGAGCTGCGATTTTCACCTCATGCAGCAGGTGATTTCAATATTCAAATGAATTCATGAATAAAAAGCTATTGAATGCAACCAGTCTGCAGTCAGTAGCTACTATGTTTAGTAAATAGTAACTGACACTGCTGTTAGAATAAACAGTCTTTCATTTCAGGAGGATGATGAGCAACCTGTGGGACAGTTGTGATAAACGTTGGACAGTGCTGCCCTCTGCTGGCAACTCACACTAAAAGGTATGGCTGCTAACAGACTACACTGTAGAGTCTGATCAGGAAGCATGTGTGGGTGATGCTGCCACTTGTTTACAATGACTTTTGTTTCTGTTCATCTTTAACTGTCACAGTACTCAATAGAGAAGACAGCAGAGCAGTACTCAGAAGAGTAGTGCTCAGTAGAGTAGAGCAGTACTCACTAGAGTAGCGTAGTACTCAGTATAGTAGAGTAGTATTCAGTGGAGTAGAGCAGTACTCATTAGAGCAGTACTCAGTAGAGTAGAGCAGTACTCAGTAGTACTCAGTAGAGCAGTACTCAGTAGAGCAGTACTCAGTAGTACTCAGTAGAGCAGTACTCAGTAGAGTAGAGCAGTACTCAGTAGTACTCAGTAGAGCAGTACTCAGTAGAGCAGTACTCAGTAGAGTAGAGCAGTACTCAGTAGTACTCAGTAGAGCAGTACTCAGTAGAGCAGTACTTAGTAGTACTCAGTAGTACTCAGTAGAGCAGTACTCAGTAGAGCAGTACTCAGTAGAGTAGTACTCAGTAGAAATTTCACTAAATTGTGGAAAAAGATAATTTTGTAATTGCCAGTATTAAATTTACACTATGACGGTCTGAACTTTGTGCTGAAGCCCAATATAAAGTAAGAAAAAGTCAAATACAGATGTGAAACGAGGGAGACTGTCAGACTGTCTCTGGCTGACATGCTGCAGAGTTAAGTTGGTTTAATGTTACAGCCATTTTCTCTGTGATAATTGTGTCTCCATCTCCATCAACCATTTACAATATTTACCACTCATTGATTTTCTAGTGGACTTTCACAACACACGACTCAAAGAGAGAAAGTGCAGGTGTGTTCCTGAGACCAAGAGACAAGCAGGACAAACAACACCGCTGGCTCTCTGACTCCCAGCAAGTCGTTATGCAAGGATCAAATAAAGTACAACATACTGTACTTTGCACTACATGTGTGTCTGCAGACAGTTAAAGTCTGTTAAAGGCTGCAGAGACTCCAGCTGTCCTGTGTTATATAAATATTCTTTAACAGTTCATGTTTATTATATCATTTTATTTTCCTCACTGGGATCTTTAAATTTCATCTTTCTGACGTGTGACAAGCTTCCTGTTTTACTTCAGATTTCAGCTCCTGTAAACACGTCACTAACACTGAGTTAGTCTTCCTTTACTTTGATGTGAAAACCCCCTGTCTGCTGGTTACTTCAAACTGTGGATTTGTCTGTTCTTCTTTTAAAAGTACAACACTATAAAATAATAAAGTATCTATCTATCTAACACACACAGACTGGAAGCCGAGCAGCGAAACTACATGTGTGGAAAGCAGCAGCACTGCTGCATTGTTACTAACAGGTCTTTTACTTTCTGTAGCGCTATGTATAACAGATTATTGTATTTCCAGCATATGTATGAACTTTTGTTAATGAATAGTAGATCATTTAGAGAATTATAGACAAGTATTAGGATTTTAAAATGTGTCTTTTAACACACAGGAAGCCAGAGCAGTGATTTAAGGACCAGTGTGACGTGCTCCAGTGTCTTGGTGTTATAGTGGATGAGCTGCAGCTGAGACCTGTGAAGGAACCATTACAACAGTCCAGCCTGCTGAAAACTGCATGGTTCCAGATAATGATAGATGGTGATAGGTGTTGATAAATAGAGAGATATATGAGGAGCATACTACACACATAAACACACAGTATCAACATGTATACGCTTATAAAAAAAGAGGGAAACAAGGAGCTTGTGTCTGTGTGGTGCGGTGCGGTGCGGTGTGTGGTGCGGTGCGGAGTGTGGTGCGGTGCGGTGCGGAGTGTGGTGCGGTGCGGTGCGGAGTGTGGTGCGGTGCGGTGCGGAGTGTGGTGCGGTGCGGTGCGGAGTGTGGTGCGGTGCGGTGCGGAGTGTGGTGCGGTGCGGTGCGGAGTGTGGTGCGGTGCGGTGCGGAGTGTGGTGCGGTGCGGTGCGGAGTGTGGTGCGGTGCGGTGCGGAGTGTGGTGCGGTGCGGTGCGGAGTGTGGTGCGGTGCGGTGCGGAGTGTGGTGCGGTGCGGTGCGGAGTGTGGTGCGGTGCGGTGCGGAGTGTGGTGCGGTGCGGTGCGGAGTGTGGTGCGGTGCGGTGCGGAGTGTGGTGCGGTGCGGTGCGGAGTGTGGTGCGGTGCGGTGCGGAGTGTGGTGCGGTGCGGTGCGGAGTGTGGTGCGGTGCGGTGCGGAGTGTGGTGCGGTGCGGTGCGGAGTGTGGTGCGGTGCGGTGCGGAGTGTGGTGCGGTGCGGTGCGGAGTGTGGTGCGGTGCGGTGCGGAGTGTGGTGCGGTGCGGTGCGGAGTGTGGTGCGGTGCGGTGCGGAGTGTGGTGCGGTGCGGTGCGGAGTGTGGTGCGGTGCGGTGCGGAGTGTGGTGCGGTGCGGTGCGGAGTGTGGTGCGGTGCGGTGCGGAGTGTGGTGCGGTGCGGTGCGGAGTGTGGTGCGGTGCGGTGCGGAGTGTGGTGCGGTGCGGTGCGGAGTGTGGTGCGGTGCGGTGCGGAGTGTGGTGCGGTGCGGTGCGGAGTGTGGTGCGGTGCGGTGCGGAGTGTGGTGCGGGGCGGTGCGGTGCGGTGTGTGGTGTGGTGCGGCGCGGTGTGGTGTGGTGTGTGGTGCGGTGCGGTGCGGTGTGTGGTGTGGTGCGGTGCGGTGTGGTGTGGTGTGTGGTGCGGTGCGGTGCGGTGTGTGGTGTGGTGCGGTGCGGTGTGGTGTGGTGTGTGGTGCGGTGCGGTGCGGTGTGGTGAAGTTGGGCCGCCCACAGCGGAACAGGGACCAGATGCCATTCATGATAAAGACTTCAGGGGCCAAAGATATTTCAGACTGGTCTTTAGTGTTGGTGTAGTCTTCATTTTGTTGAGTCTGATGTAAGTTTCACGAAAATAAACACTAAATATATAACTCAGGTCTAAGACCAATGTTACCATAGTAACAGTCAATGACACCTGTGCTGACCAGCAGCGCCCAACAACAAAAAACAGGAAAAGATGGCTCATCATTTGTGGTTTGCCAACATTGTCATAGAGAGAGCAAAGAGAAGGGAAAGAGTTTTTAGAGACCAAATCAGATTTTTCTTTTTATTGTTTCACTCTCCAAGTAAAACGTCCTTGTAGCTGTTGAATTCTCTCAGAGGACAAACATCTTCTGCTGAGGGGAAACAGAGCTCAGCGGTTGGATGTGGTTCTTTGGCCGGCCTTTTTTTTTTATATTGAAAAATGTCTTAATTTACCCCATTGTACCACAGTCCAGCTTAAGATAGTCGAGGATTAAACTGTGCAACAGATGAATTTAGACGCAGTCTATCTGAAGCCTGACTGTTTGTGGTATCTAAGACACAGTCAGAGTCTGTCTTACTGAAACTGGCCCCAGAACAATGACAGCAAAGCAAAGCACAGGCCAACGTGTCAAGAGCATGGATGTTCATGTTGGTGCTCGCATACAGGAAACACTTCAACCCAGAACAAAGTAAACGATCAGATCATCACAGATCATTGACCCACACTTTACTGAGTAAAATCCACAACAGCTCCTTTTACTTCAGTCCAATGCTAATTTGAGTAAGTGTTACTTAGCAAACTTCCACCCATAAATGAAGGACGTTGAACTGTCAGTTCACCCAAACTGCAAAACAACAGATGTTACTCACTTCCCTGAAGTGCTGTCCGACCATACAGTTTTAGTCAAGAATAATCTTTCCCACTCAACAACAGCATGTCCCCAGAGGTGATGTCTTAGATGGTTGTTGGATATCTACAGTCTCATCGAACACGAGCTTCTGTTAAATTTTGGTAAAACTAAATACCAGCCCACTGCCCATATCCAAACCCTTCATGGTCATGAGATTGAAACAGTCGAAAGTTGTAAATACTTAGGTCTCTGGTTGGATACAAGACTCACTGTTAAAACCCATGTGGAACACCTGTCGAGCAAACTGAAGGTAAAAATTGGATTTCTGTGCAGAAACAAATCATGTTTCTCTTCTGCTAGTTGAAAGACCATTGTACAGTCTACAATTCTGTCTGCGCTTGATTGTGATTCCCCCATCACACTGAAGCCTCTTGACTCACTGCGCTTCATCACAGGTGACACTTTTCACACTCACCATTGCATCCTATATAAAAAGGTGGGATGGTCCTCATTAACAACTGAAGGGAGCAGCATTATATAATGTTTATTTAGAAGGCTCTGCTGCAAAAGCCCAGTTACCTCTGCCCTCTGGTAACATTTAAACACAACACTTACCATATCAGGCCACAGAATATTTAAACTGGAGCAGAACCTCTTGTTCACACTGAACTCTGAAACACTGCTTTCAGATACTATGCTGCAGACAGATGAATGAGCTCCAAAAAATCTGAAGTCACACTCTCATATTTCACTGGAACATTTTAAAAGACTGTACTTATGTACTTACAATCACACATAGACAGTGTGTCCATTTTAATGCCAGTGTATTTATGTGTGTCTGTGTATTAGGGCTGCACAACTAATTGAAATACAATCGAAATCTCAATATGGCCAGGTTCAACATCCAAATAGCAGGAGATGCAACTGTTTTGATAAAGGTAAAATGTGTCACAACATTGGTGTGCATTGTTAGCACCATAAGTGTTGTGGTGCTACAGAGACGCCCGGCTTATACGTCATATTATCCAGACCTTAAGGAACATTTTTGTTTAGTACAACACCAATTTTTCATTTTTAGATTTTTTTTCTGTGAAAATGAAAATGCAAAAACGACCATTCCAATTTAAATCACAATATCTGCCAAAATCATTGCAATATGATTTTTTTTGCATATTGTCCAGCCCTACTGGCTGCGTATAAATTGTATATATTTATTTTTGAACACAGGTGTCTCTTGAAAAAAGTGATCCAGATCTCAATGAGATGATCTGTTTAAATAAAGGATTTAATAATAATTCATGGAGTCAAGAAAGACAAAGTGAGATTGTCACTTGGATTCCTATTTATTTAAAAATAATCAGTCATCCAAAGAGTTTTTAAGTTACCTGAAGAATACTTTCTTTAACATGACTCTTAAATACAACCCAGGTAAATTAAATAACAAAACAACAACAACAGTAACACACTTGACTTAGACTGCCTTCAGTCTGATATGATACAGTGGCTTCAACAGCAGTAGTATTAGTAGGTAACAATTTAGAATGAGGTTAGACAAATTGTTAATGCCTGAATTAGAATTAGTATAGAAAGTTATGGAGTATGGCTGTTGATTCCCTCCTCTGCTCTGCCCACTGCTTGCTTGTCCTGAAAACTGCCTCTGCAGTTTGGTCAGCCTCCAGCTCCAGCTGATCACATCAGCCTGACAGTAAGATTAAAGTCTCATCAGTAGATACGAGCCATTCATTTGTTCCCTGACTGTTAGTGTTTATCTGTGCAACCCTATCACCAAGTGTTACCGCTTTACAGCCAGACAGGCTCTTCACACACACACACACACACACACACACACACACACACACACACACACACACACACACACACACACACACACACACACCATGCTAAAACAGAACATGCATCATGTCACACCGATGCTACACCACTCTCTGCCTGTCCCGCTGGCTCAGAAGCAGACATGGCGGTTTGAGGGAGGAGGGGATGGGCAACTCGTGCAGGCTGTCCGGGAAGGTCGCTGGGCTCAGCTGCTTCAGGATAGTCTGCATAGCGGTGAGGACCAGCGGCGCCGGGCTCCGTCCCGCCAGGTACTTGTACGTCTCCTCGCCCAGCACCTTGGCCCAGCGCTCCGGCTCTCTGTCCAGAGCGCCTTTCATTTTAAAGTGAACCTTTGGCATGAACATGAGCAGGTTGTCCAGGCACTGCCTCCTCTCCCCGCCGCTCACCTCCGCAGAGTCCCTGAGTTTCTCCAGAATGACATCCAGCGGGGTCAAGCCGCTGTGGTCCTGGGCGTGCGGGGACGCTCCGTTCCCCAGTAGCATGATGACCGCCTCGGGCCGCAGGAGCTCACAGGCCAGATGTAAAGGGGTTCTGCCGTCCTCGTTGTGAAAACACTCGGCTCGGTCCGTGTAGGAGGGTGTGCTGGATATCCGATGAGTCTCTTGTAAGATGAGGCTGAGGATGCAACGCCTGTCGTAGCGGACAGCCATAGCCAGGTGTGGGGCGGAGGACGGGCAGCAGCAGAAACGCTCCCCGGGCTTCGCTAGCGCTTCGTCAGTGTACCGGCTGAGCAAGTACTGGGCGTATGCCTGGTGATCGTGAACTATAGCGTAGAGCAACGCCTCTGACGGGCTGTAAATCCTCTGACTGGCGTCCTCCTCCTGGTAAAACGTCTCCATCGTCCGCATGTCCTCCAGCATCCAGACCGGCTTCAGGTCCCTCACAGCGCGGTAGAAGAGCAGCGAGAAGGACTTCCGATGCTTCTCGATGCTCCGAGCCGCCGAGGTGACGGTTAGAGACGCCATGGCGACCCGAGTAACTTCTGTCCTCAGCGGGTTACACTGCGTCCTTCAGTGCTTCGGAGCCATTAGCTCAAGAGTTGTGGAGTCATTTCAGTCAGGACTGAAACATGATGTTTCCTAACAAACCAGCGGTCAGAGACAAGACCACAGCTCTGTGTTCACAGTGGTTTACAGAGCGACACACACATTCCTGAACGCTCTTGACAGCTGCGGGACTCCTCTCTGCAGTACTCAGCCAGCGAGCATGCGCACAACACGATAACGTCTAGAGTCTTGGAAACTTTATTGACAACCAGTGTTTCAATCAGGCTACAGTATTATCCCGATGAGTAATCAGAATTAGAACCGGAAACCTGCTCACAGTAACGCTTTCAGAGCAGTAGAGCATGTTCAGTAGCGTTCAGTTGGATACAGACTGTTTCACACATTAAGATATTTATGTTTGAGCTGCATGTACCTGAATGCACAAAAGCAGACGAGAATGAGGATGGTTGCAACACTTTTTGCATTTCTGTTACCCAGACTGGACAAAAACAACCAAACTTTTATATATTAATCTTACATCTGTATGATAATGACCCATATTTTTTGAATGTAAGAATTCAGATGTTGCAACTGACCGGTTGCAACATTTATTTTATTGCTTATGATGAACAGACCAGGCAAATATTTTATAAGACCACGAGAGACTGACAAAATCACTTGTTTATAACTTGTTTCAGCCGTATGACTGGCACAAACCTGCTCCTTAGGGTAAGGCGCCCTCTTGTGGCAGAATAATGACTGCCTGGACTTTCTCCTAAATGTAAGACCCTAAAAATCCATCCATCCATTGGCCTTCACCTGCCTATCCTTGGAGTGGGGGGGGGGGATCTTATCCCAGCTGACATTAGGCAAGTAGGGCACCCTGTAGTGGCCACATATGCACACATACGTTATTATTTCAGTAACAGCAAGAACATGCATTTTTTTATTCAACACTTCTGAGTTATGCTGACACAGAACAAATTAACAAAATTAATTCATTAAACTGTCAAAGAAAGTCACACCTACACCCTGGGACAGATTATGAGGGAATGGCCCCCTGAGCAGACAGATAAAAGGCCCCACCCCCTCACTACTTCTCCTCCCCCCTCTGTCAGCAGCAGTTTGAGATTACACAGATCCACTGCTTCACTAACACTCCACAAATACAAACTGTAATGGAAAGCAATAATAGAAGCTTGTGGTACTATTTTCAGCAGAGATATTCTGATGGAGTGCAACAGGTAACTGTAATTATCTTTCAAATGTGGGTACAAGCACAAAAATTGATATGTTTATTCCTCTGGGGCTATTCATTTGAAAATCCCATCAGCCACTTGAAATTTCAAGATGGCCACTATTTCCAGCACAGTATTTAACCCACAGGAAAGATTTCAGTGATTTTGAAATTTAATCCTGTTGACTCTGTGGATGTCAAATTGACAATTGTTGTATTTCTTCAGAGTTAATCTTAATTTCTAATATGTGAGGATTTAATAAAACACAATGTAATTACACAATTACCAATATTTTGGGAGGACAGAATTGTCCCTACCAATATTTGAGTGAACTCGTTTGAATTCATATTAGATCATTCCAATGTGGGCCCGGCTCTAGGCATGGGCACGGGGGACAATGTCCCACCAAATGCTCCAACTGCCCCACCAAAGCACCCCACTTCAACCCAAAATTAAAAAAAATAACTAAAAGTAGGGACATTATTGGTATCAATAGTGTATGGAGGCAGCCTGGAACGTCTAGTCTCATGCCCACTCGCCTCATGCCGAGCTTCTAATATTCAAAATAAAAGCTCACGTCTGGTCCGCTATGTCTTGTTCGTACTACTGAATAAAATACTTAAAAATATGTAAGATAAAAACATACTTAAAATCCATTATGTATTCATTAATATATTGTATTTTGTATTGTATTCCAGCAAGTTGTTTTAAACGTAGTATGGAATCATGCTCGAGGTATTCCTATCCACTGTTGTTACAGTATGTTGTACCTCTGTTATCATTATTGTGCTATACAAATAGTTACTATTATTACTCTCAGTGTTAATATTTGTGGCACTGCTGCTTATCTTGTGTATATGTGCCAGTGTACACACACACACACAGACACACACACACACACACACACACACACACACACACACACACACACACACACACACACAGGCTATGGCTACTTACATGAAAGAGGACAAAAACTTTATTGGTTATTTACAACAAAATCATCAAAGTCACGCACACCTCTTCAGGTGTTGCAGATCCCAAGACTTTGGCAGAAATGGGTAGGGATCTTCAGAAGAGATCCCCTGCAGCTCCCCCCTGCCTTCCTCTTCCAACATACCTGCGGGTATAGCAAAAACAAAACAAAAGCATACTCTTGATCTGCTATCATCCGGTGTTTATGTGTCTTTTTTGTTTCAGACACAGTCTTTTCTGTTAGCAACAAGTTACTACTCAAACAGCCATCCAATTTCAAAGCACAGTATAAATACCCAGCATGCAGCTCTTGTATAAACAGTAGCACCGTGAGCAGTTCAGCACAGATTACATTCTCTGGAAGTCCTGCTTCTACTTGTTGGAGAACCTGCTACAATCAATGACACCTGTATAACAACATTTTGGGATTATCAAATTGAACACTACGCTTCATGTGAAAAATATGCTGAAACGTTGCAAGTCTACAACTATCAAAAGCATCATTTCTTTACTTACTGTCAAGCCACAAAAAGTGACATGTTTTCCTGAAGCTATGATAAGCGATGATGTCTCTGAAGGAGGAGCACACCAGGGCCAAGGTCAGCTGTGTCTGATCACCATCCTGGAGGACCACCTCAAGCAGTATGTCTTCCAGGCAATATCTTGGAATCTGCAAAGCATATCATGGATGAATGTCAAAATAACTTTTACAGTAAATTTTTTATTAAAGGGTTGTAGTTCAGAACATTTATGTTATTTTATGTCTCATGCTCTGGTAGTTCCTTACTGACCTCCAGGATCCCCTTGTCCTCAGTCAGGTCAACAGTTTACTGAATGAACACATTTAAGTATTATTTTGAGGGTTAATTATGTTGACAGTTGGTAATATTTTGACAGTAGATATGTATGCAAGATAGTAAGTTCACTTCATTCACACTAACTGTCCTGGGCCTGTTTTCCTCCTCCATATCTGCTCTTATCTGTACACAGACCACAATTATTTAATTATCAGTTCCAGGAACTTTTTGGTCGAAACGTGGCTATAGACCCAAGTAAATAAAAAATGCAAAGAAAAAAATTTTCCATTGCTTTTTTCTTGTAAATGACATTAAAGGGCTAGGATAGTTAACGAGCTAGTTCACAACAAGTGGCAAACTACCGTGATGTCACCCATTGGTTTGTTAGCGGCCGTTTTGAAGCCTCGAGTTTGGCTTAATGGACGTTGCCATCTTGGTTTTTTGGAGCCAGAAGAAACCATATTTGGATGAGAGGGTGGAACTGGGGATGAGTGAGGGGAGGATCTGACCTTTGTCCCCGAGGACACTAAGTACACCCACCTGCATCAGCAACCTGACAGCAACACGCTCCTGGCTGCGCCAGAGACAGTAGAGAAACCGAGACACTTCATTTATGTTTATTTCCTCTATCTGTGTCATGTGGGTTTCTCCACCTCCCCGCCCCTTTAGGAGACTGGAAGCAGGTCTGAGTGTATTCATTTAAATGGGCGAAGTGAACGAGATCACAGATTATCACTGATTCTTTCGCTCCATAGTCACTGAAATAAATATTGGACCCAGTTTACAGAAGCCACACGTCTTCAGAACATTCTGACATCAAAATGACATTTTTCAGATCAACAGATCAGGAGAAAATTTACTTTATTGGAGACCTGCCTCTGTCTCAGTGCCATACTCTCGCGAGATCTGTCAACTGCAAACATTGTTTGCCAACCGATAACTAGATGTTTAAATGGAAATGGAGTTATTTTTGGATTGATTTACTTATATGTGAAACCATGGATTAAACTTTAAAACTTAAATAAAACTTGCTTCATTGTTTAAAAATTGCTAACAGATTATTAGCCTATTAAACTGACCTGACTTTGTACTGGGCTGATCACATGTCATAAGTAGATAACAGCGGCAAAAAAAAAAGAATTTGTCCGTGTTGTATTGTCCATTGTTGTATACTTTTGGCAGGGACAAGTAATCCATCACTTGGTGTTAAAAATGCTCGAGCTTTGTGCAGCAACAGACTAATAACAAGAAAAACGGATCTGTCTTTTCTTCGCTTGAGGGAGGGGTTGGGGAACAACGCCCACTTAGGAGACCGGAACTGTGTCCCATTTAATACCATTGGCGCTGCCTGTAATGTGGTATCTTCTGTATAGAGGATCTTTGGCTGAGCCGTGCGAAGAAGCTGCTAACACGGTTAGCTTTCACAATTCGAGGTAAACTAACTGTTAAATTAGTCTTATAGGCTAATTGCATACATCCACATTTGGCAAATATCATATATATGAAGAGTAACGTGTAATCTTATTGTAGTTAAAGTTAGTATGTGTGCTAACGTTAAACTGTGAAACCACAGTGTAAAACGTATTCTAACTGTGTGTTTTAAATTGGTTCAACATGGCAGAACATGAACAGACTTCAGAACAGCTTCTCCCTCAGACTGTGAGTCTGCAACATGTAAACTGTGTCACACATGAAGACTGATGATGAATATCGGCTCCTGGACTTTTTTGCATCTTACCTTCATCACTTATGGACGGCTGCAACAGCTTACAGTTAAACTATGAACAGACTGTTGCACTATCCTCACTTAACTATGAAGTATTATTTTTACATTTCTACTATAATTTCTACTTGTTACTAAATAAAATTTATCCACCTCTTTATTATGCAAATTTGTCTTGTGACACTAACCCTAACCCTAGAGATAGATATTAGAGTTTATGCTTTTCTAATTTGTCTTATGTACTTACCAATTTTAATAACAATGAAAACACTAATTCACCAAAGTGTCCCATTAGATTCATCATGAGGCAGATGGTGAATATGAAAAAAACACACTCATTACAATTTAATCAAAGTAGGTTTATTTATTAAACATCTTTTTGATGACAATAATAAAGTTATGAATAAAACTAATGTACATGAGCTGTACTGAACTGAGAACTGCTTCAAAATCTTAACTGT